TTACGATCACTGTGAGTAAAGAAAGTAAGTCACAATTGCTTATATAAGGTATTTTAAATTCTGGTTGATAGTTGTCTCATCACCAATCATACTACATCTCCTTATTTTTTTTACAATAAAGCTATATTTAGATGCGGTATAGTGAGTGATGATTGTGTAAACATGCAGCATGCTTGTAAATAATTGTTAAAATACAGCACAAAAGATGCATAATATATCAAACTCGAGTCAACGCCATGTCAAAAACTAAAAAAACAACAACAAAAAACGACCAAATGGCAAATAGTCTATAAAAACAACTATAGCATACCAAAATATATAATTTGTAAAGACTTGCATGCAACTAGGCCTATACAGTAGCTCTATGTTCATTTGGATCTCATAACATTACGATTAAAAGTCAGATTATGTGTGTGTAAGTTTATTAGAAAATTCAACGAGACACGTCCTAATCAGGTAAAATCCAAAATAACAATTTACAAATTCAGATCTACTGCCTGTTGTATATTGCTTACATGATTGTATATTGCCAAACGAATAAATATGTCTGGTACGGGATGGCGGCTTCGAAGCGGAGACAAAAAGACCCAGATAAATGAAAGTGTAGAATTTTTGTTGTGTAGAATTTTTTTTTAAAGAACTAGATTCATATCTCAGAATTTGAATATAGCATCTCGTTTTCTTTAGATAAATTGTTAGCTATTACTGACTATAATAATTACCCCCTTATAAGTATTCGCAAAACATGAAGTTAATGATCAATGAATATGAAAACATTTTATAAAGTATAAATATTGGTAAACGGACAGCAAGTCATAGGACTATTATAGTTCGAATAAATTAGTTTACAATAACTGTTGAAAGGTTATGAGAGAAAAATCTGGATGAATTTATTTTTATTAGAATGATTTATTTTACAGTAAAGGCTTCTCAAGAACATATTTTTAATCAGTTATTTGTAAAAGAAAGGTGACATGTTTAACACCATGGAGCCAGTAAATTAACAAACTACTATGATGGATTTTTTTCTTTACTATCATTGATCATTATTAATATTTGAGAATAACTTTTGTTTACAATTCGTTTTCATAAATAACGGTTCAAGAAAAAAACTTTTTGAAAATTAGTCTGTTAGTTTCCAAAGAAAAAAATATCTTAAAAACTGAACTGTGAGTTTTCAATCGTTACGTTTTGTTATACTTTTTCAGTGTTAATCTCAGCAAAGACAAATTTGGTGATAAAAATCGATTTGTTGGTCTTTAAAAAAAAACCATACGTCATAATGTAATCTTCATCTGGAGATATTCATTCCCTACTGTAAAATATTGAGTTTTTGGTTGATTAATGTCGGGTGTGTCTGACGTACCGAATAATATATGATAGGTACATGTAGGTCTTGTAATTGAGACCGCCCGTGATACGGTCGGAAAATTTCGACTGCCAACGAAAAAGGATGGACAGAAAATTGGCCTTATACCAGGCTACTTATAGTCCACTTGAAGAGATGTTGCAAGGATTCAGCGTCCCCATTCGGACGTGTCTGAGCACAACCCAATGGACGTTCCACTATCATTACTGCTAAGGATTTATTGCCGGTCAGAAGAAGACCTGTAACGACGCTATTTCTATAGTTACTCTAGTTCGCTAACGAATTCGCTTCTTGTTCCATTGAATATAAAGGAAAGAGTTATCTAATATATATGTATATATATATATATATACACGTCTTAATTGAAAACAACGTTCAAACCTATGATTGCGTTGGATAAAAACCGCAATTTTTATACGTGTGCATGTAAAACAAATTTCTTGGTAGAGGGGTCTAAATACAGCACAAACAACATTTTCCAAAAGACCAAAAAGTGAAAAAGTATATTTTAACAAAACGCATTTGACTAACAGGTCGAACAACTGATGTTCTTAAACCCTGCTGACTGCCATTGGCTATTGCCAAATAAATTGATCACCAGATGTAAAAAATGGATCTTACATAATAATTAAATACCAAACAGAAAACAATAAACTTACGGAAAAGATGGTATACCGCAAACATGAGGTGCAAAAATTTGTACACCATATCCGGATTTCGACATTTAATGTCTCTTCAGTGATGTTAGGGATCGAAACGGTATTTGGAAGGCCATATAATATATATAGGAAAAAAATAAGACTGAAAATGCACCAAATATTTATATTCAATATGAATATTCACATTTTGTCTATTACAACAACAAGTTGTTCAAAAATTGTTGTAATAGACAAAATGTGAATATTCATATTGAATATAAATATTTGGTGCATTTTCAGCCTTATTTTGTTTTCCTATTTTATGCACAGCATGGACAAAATTTAAAACTTTTTAATATATATATATATTTTTCTTGAACTACTATAAATAAAGTAGTTCATTTTAAAATGTATTCTTTAAAGGTTAAGAAAACAACAAGTATAATGGCTGGTACATACATGGCTTCATGGCTAATACCAAACAGGTATAGCCAATTTCCCGTTTATTTTTTTTCGTTGTTTGGTTCACATGTTCAAATTTAATAAATTGATGAATTTAATAATTTATTGATATCCTAAATCTTTGTTAATATATTTACTTCGGTAGAAAAGAAAGTGAATCTTCTCATCGGGACTTTGATTAATCTGCATATCTATTATCTATTTTGGGATTGAAAAAAATATCTTTAAAAAATGCGGTTTCGAGCCTATTTCTTCATTTTAATTTGGTTACACGTTCAGCAATAACTGATACAAATATGATATATTACCAATGATAAGGCCATATATTTGAAGCTGTTCAAAATTTTGTACATTATAGCTGGGACTATTATACTAAAAAAATAGTTAGTATAATAGTCCCAGATTATAGGTAAGTGTATCAGATTGGACATTTTTTTTTATTGTTCTATATAAATAATCTTACTATAAGTTATCTCAGGTCTAAACAAAATGTTACTATGAGTTTTCCAATGAGTTTTGTTTGATAATTTTTTGTTTAATTCAGTTAAAAGTTTGTTTTTTTTACACGAGAAGGTCTGCTAAAAAGTTTATGATGATCTCTTTTTTTCAGCATAACAAACGGATACTCTTTAATGTACACTAGGTGGACTTTCCTCTATTCCGATGAAGGCAGTGCACGTCTTTCATTTAAAAGATTAAATCGTTGTTTTGCAACAGACGGCGGCACATCGGGCATTGACTTACCATTTTATAATTTGTAACAATTATGATTAACCATATATTTATGAGTTATAACAAAATTATTTTTTATACATCTTTATTTAAGATGATCGAGATTTGAGAATGATATGAAAATAATAAAATATATATTACAAAAAAAAAGGTTATCTCAGGTCTAGTTATCTAGTATAAAATGTATTCACTGGAAATAAACCCTTTAAAACACAAATCCCCGTTTACTCATTGCGAAGTTTATTTGCTAGTGTTTTTTTAATCTTTTTTTTTAATGATTTTATTATATTATCTTTTTTGTGAAAATTTTGAGTGGTTGAACATGAAATGGACACCGATGCTACAAAGAAAATTTGTTTAATGTCATCTGTTGCAATATATACTAAGTATTACACGTGGACAGGATGTTCCCCAGAAAATTAAGGTATTCAAAATAAGTTATACACACCCCAAGGGTACACGCCACTGTCATATGGAAAATTACTGGGTCACCAGTAAACTGGTAATCAGCCATGCAACCAATCAGTTGACTGACCATGCCACTACAATTTAAAAAGTTTGTCGTTAGATCAAAACGAAATATTTATTTTAATTTAAAATTGAAGAACTAAAAGGATTTATCATAATTATGAAAGGAAATAATTCAACAAAATCGGATTATTTCCCAAAAGATTACATATTTTTAAAAATTTTTCCGGGGAAAATAGAAAAATGTATCAGAGACATATATATATAAAGGGTCCCATCAAGGGTTTTATAGAAATCCTTGGTCTCATGAAATGGATCTCACACAGACATGCATAATTGAAATTTATACATTGATTGATTCTATGATTTCTTGAGAAATCAGGAGCGAAATATAACAAATATTTAGTTTTGATATTAAATTAAATTTACTTTTCCTCGCTATAATTCATTTGACATAACATTGAGGGATTTAAGGGTTTGTCCGTACAACGTTAGTATTTCACATGACTTATTTTCGCGCTTCGCCTTGAAGCTCATTATTCAGACTGTTTCAGACAAGATGATGAAAATAACATGCAAGGCACTTTTTTTTTTCGATCATCGTGAAGTGCACTCTCCCCCTCTTCAAGAATTGTATATTTATAAATCCTCGTCCTTTTTAAAATTACCACACTCTTTGTGATTACCGTTATGCTATTATGCTAACAGTAATTAACCCGGGACTTGATTTACATGTAATATCAGGGGCGATTCTAGCCAGGATAAAGGGGGTCTTAATACATAGGCAGACCTATATATGTCTCTGATTAATAGCAATGATCGTTCACAAAAAGGGGAATCAAACCCCCGGATCCCATCCCCCTTCGATCCGCCACTGATTGTGAATATAAATATAATTGTTACTTAAAAGTCATAGAATAGTACTAGCTCCGAGCACCTGTTTTGGGATATATACAGCTAATTAACCGTAAATAACTGCGAGATAATGAATAACAAGTTGATAATTGTCTATTCTCTGCTAATTAATGTACCTGCAATTCACCCTGATTCATTTGTGAGACCACCGACACTAATAATATTACCTCAAAGTTAGAGGTTCTCCGTTACTGGGAACTTCATATCGGATCCGATCAATTTATTGGTTCCATTCCCCCTAGCAATACACCTTATCGCTATTTGTCCGCCATTACTGGACATCACACAAGTTCCCGTAAAATTTTGACGTCATAATAGAAAATATCTGACGCCACAATGGAAAAGTGATTGTTGTATGACGTCAAAAGTTCGAGCGGGACTGATTCTCGGGTCAAGCGGGATTAGCGATAAGGTGTATAATGATCCATTTGCAGTGACGATGACAATCAAAGGTATACTCATTACTGTTGATTTTGCATGATAACATACATGTTATGTCAACTCACTTCTCCTTCCTACGGCGTCAGAGAGAAAAAAAAAGCCTTGCAATGCGTCATAATTATTTGGACTACTTCCATATGACTTTAAAAAAAACCAAACAATAGTTTATTTCACCAGGTCAGGAATAACCACCAATTGGTGGATTATACCTCAATTGACGTATAATCCACCAATTGACATTTGTACGACTTTGCCCCCAGCAGAGCTATAGAAAAACAGTACATTAACGGGTGTTACACGGACACTTTTTAGATGATACACGGACACTTTTTAGTTGTTACACGGACACTTTTTATGAATAGAATCACTCGTGCATGATCAGTGAGTTCATGGGCACTTTGAATTTCAATTAGATTTGAACTTTTTGTTTCACCGACATATTTCCTGTCTTTTTATTAAAATATTTACGTTGGCATTAATAACTAAAATTTTTTCAAACAATTCTAGTATATTACTATTCATATCAATACGCTTAGGGATTGACCATTTAACTTCAAAAAGGGGGGGGGGGTTATGGTTTTTTCCTAAAAAAATATTCTGATCCCCAATTTTATGAGAAAAAGTATATTGTGGTCAAGCAGATGAAAAAAGAATGTTCTGATTCCTGATTTTCCAAATACCGTATGTAATAGTGCTTATTTCGACAAAAATATTGTGGTGATAGCGTTGAAAAACTAAATAATTTTCTTACTCAGAAAAAAACATAACCCCTTTGGAAGCTAAATGGTCGGTCTGTAAATGTTTATTTTTTTTTCAATATATGGACATGAATAGTATTCTGGACATTGCTGAAAGTAAAGAAATGCTGGTACCGACGTTTATATTTCAATAAAAAAGACAGAAAATATATATAAAAAAATCAAATCTAATCGAAAGATAAAATCCCTATCAACTCACCAATGCACGATTGATCCTATAAATAAAAAGTGTCCGTGTAATACATGTTCAAATAGGCAGCAAATCTTGAAGAAAATCATTGAACTGATGTCATCAATTTTGGACGGTAAGCTCCGATTGGATAATATTGTGACACGTGTTTAATCCTGATCAACACAATAAGAGACATATAAAAACCTATAAGCATGAAAATTAGAAAAAAAAATCCAAAATATATGCCTATATATATCAAATAACAAGACAAAATCCATTTTTTCATAACATTTCGTTCACTAATGAAATAGGAAATTCATTATTTATATCCATTTATATTGTAACAGTTATTGAATTCATATATATTGAATTCATATATTTGGGAGCAAACGAACGATTTTTATGACTTCTTAAGGGGAATGGGGGAATGGAATGGCACATCCTGCATTTTTTCAACAAAAAATGATCAAGCCTGTTTATTTTAAATTTATTTTAACCCGCCCCCCCCCCTTTTCCTTTTTTCCCCAAATAAAAATCAAATGTTAGCTTGCTTACCTCTGAAATCTTTTTCATACATTACTTACTTGCGAAGTTGCATTTTAAAAAGTCTCAAATGTGTACGACATTCATCTTTTACTTGACATGGTTCTTTTTTATAAAATTATTAGATTCTTGAATTTCTTGAGAAAAAAACTCGGCAGAAGGGAAGTGAGAAAAAAAGTTTGTTTAAACTGTAACTTACATTTACTGGTATATGGCCATTTAACTTTCTAATCTGTTTAATTTTGCTACCTCTTCTTAATGCAAAATGTACTACTTCTTTCTTGAAACGTCGTACAAGTCAGATACAAAACAAAGGTAACAAAAAAAAACAGACCGGAAACAACTTGCCGTATAGTTCTTCTGCACTTGTAGTCAGGTCAAGGTCCTCGGCTATCGCCTCGGACCTTCACCTGACTACTCGTGCAGAAAAACTATCCGGCAACGGTTGTTACCGGCCTGTTTCTTTGTTACCTTTGTATTGTATCTAATACATAATGGTATAGACCAATTGAAGTATAATTCTTTGTATTTCAAAGCAAACTATACAACTAAAATGGAGCATTGTTTTCTTATAACCATATTATGGTATGAAAACATGTCAAACATTCCTAGTTAAGTATAGTGACATAACATATTGCATTTAATCAATAATTGTATTTGCAGTTTCTTCTATTGTTATCTTGTCAATTCTTGATTGGTAAATTTTCCACTAATCACCGGTCAATGGACATCAATACTGTCTTCAGTCATGTGATTATGAGTACAACTCACCAGGTGAATGGAGCTCTTTGTTAATACTTGACTTTCATTATTAAAAGTCAATCATGGTCAATAGTACAGATGTTTTAACAAAAGAATTGTTATACACATGCATTCTCAAGAGATGCAGCAGGCTTTGATAAAACTGAAACTTCAGGAGGATTCAATAATGGTTATAAAATAGGTTGCAAGTTGCAAAATGATGCTCCTATCCCAGACTAGCGTTTTATTACAAAAAAACTTGCATTATACGTCAATTGGTCTATACCAATATATGTCAATTGGTGGATTATACGTCAATTGAGGTATAGTCCACCAATTGGTGGTTATTCCTGACCTGTTCACAGATTGAGATTGGACTGACGAGACATTTCAGCATGTGAAATCTTAATTGTTAGTCCAAGTACACAGTTATCATCCATTGATTTTCATTTTTACAAAAAGATTTCCTAGTGTGGACCATGTATTACTTTAAAATTTATTTATTTATATTTTTAATGCATAAAAAGTAAGTATTTAATGAAGTAGGGGGATGAAATTATTTTATTTTAGTTTGAGAATCACTCATACTTCTTGTATGATGTCACCTTAGCCTACAAATTACCAAAAAGAAACACTTTTTTATTTCCTCTAGCTTATGTGTATGCCTTTTCATATACATGTAAAAATGTGTTACTGCCTATATATTGACCTTAAATGTTATTCAGTCTTCCATGGCCTAATGGGACCTTGTTCTACTCATGTGGTATGCTATAAGCAGATAAGTAACTTTCTTTCCTTTTGAAATACAAATAATTTTTTAAATATATATGAAGAATTTTTATATTAGCCGCTTCCCCCCACCCCCCTTAATTTTGAAATCTCTAATTTTAGGCATAGGCTCATATAAATTCGACTTTTGAAGAATTGAAATAAATCTGAGACAGCAAATGAGTATTGAGCTGCTTTACATTAAAATACATTATGTACATACATGTGACATACACAATTATATATAAATAGTTATAAAGACATTTAAAAAGCAATTTTTTGCAATATTTAAATTATGTAGGGCCAAATTTTGATAGTTAAACGTTAAACGGCAAACGGCAAAAAATTAACACCCAAAGTTCAAACTTATAGTCTTTAATGTATATATGCTATTGCCATGAAACTAGGTAAACTGTCTTATAATTCTCTAATTAATCTTAGTTCATGCCAAGTTTGATTAAAATTAGTATTTCTACTCTATTAGGTCTCTAGTGTGGATATAGTGTATAACTTGCAAATTATTTTCATACTCCTTCCAAATTTATTGCGGATGAATAACATTTTTACCAGATATTCGGAATCCTCTGGTTTTATCCATGCAGTGCCATTAAAAAATTTTGCCCGCAAACCCCTACTTTTCTTTTCATATTTTTATTACATAGTTTAAAAAGCCATATTTGAAAATCTTATAAAATCCTTGTTATTTTTCCATAGCTATTGAAAGAAAAAGGTGCCAGTGTTAAGTGTATGAAAAATCTAGAGAGAATCACTTCCCGCCAAATTTTTAATGGCTTATATCTTAAAAACAAGCACACGGACCCTTCATTTTTTCAGTTTTTTTAGTTCCTTTATTCATATTCTTTAAAAAAGCTTGTTATTTTGAAACGGAGTAGCGAACATCCTTAAGGCCAAACAAAAATATATGTCTGTTTACGGTTACCCGACCGACCGTCCTTTTGAGCGCTGACCCTAAGTCATTTTATTTCCGTCGTAAAAGCAAAAATTAACTGAACTCGTGTCAAAAATGAAGTTTGTGTTGCCAATAATATAAATCAATTGCCTGATACATCCCAATGTTCACAATCGTGAATATGACAGCTGTTATAAGGAAATTCGTGACTCATGTGATGAAATAAACACTTTGCCGCCATTTTTTCCCCAACCAATAACCAAGGGAAATAATCCAATCATTAAAATAACGGGTAAAATTGGCCAAGGATCAACTCAGACCACGACAAGACGAAACGGCATGACTCAAAATCATGTCGCAAAAAATTAAATGAAAAAATAAAATAAAATGGAAATACCGACCTACCTAGCCTTTTTTTTTAAAGTATGTAACCTTAAACAGACATATATTTTTTGGGGCCTAAGTAGTGATTTGGTATAGTTTGAAAAGGTCAAATATTAGTATGTCTGTGAAGTTGTCAAACTAAATTAAAGACCCTTTAAACATAAAATTGTCCATATTTTGAGTTATAGCTCATAGATTTTTCTATTATGTTAATATGTCCTGTCCCAAAAGTAGTACACTACACTGTTAAAATCTCTTTTGGATAGAGCCATCGAATTTTTTAAATTTGCCTTTTTGCTCATCGTTCCGAAGGAACAGTGCGATTTTGCCATCACTTGGCGTCCGTCGTCGTCTGTTGTTGTTTTTCGTCAACCATTGGCGTCCGTCGGGTGTAAACTATTTCATACATCTTCTCCTCTACTGATCCAATTCCTACTAAACTTAAGCTGAATGATCTTTAGGGTATTTACAATAAAGTTTGTGTTTTGTTACATGGTTGTCATGGCTAAATATGAACATAGGGGTAAATGCAGTTTTTGGCTTTTATCTCAAAACCCAAAGCATTTAGAGCAAATCTGACACAGAGTTGATTGTTCATTAGGTATTCAAAGTTCTATCAGCCCTGAAATTTTCTGATGAATGTAATAACCCATTGTCATGATTGTTGGGTTGCTGTCACTTAATTGGTAATTTCAAGAAATATTTGCAGTTTTTGGTTATTATCTTTAATATTATTAATGATAAAGATAAACTGTAAACAGCAAAAATGTTCAGCAAAGTAAGATCTACAGATAAGTTTCATAACCAAAATTGTCAATGGACCTCTTAAGGAGTTATTGCACTTTAACGACAATTTTACACAATTTGTTTATCATGTTTTCTAACTTTAAAAAATCTTCTCCTCTGAAACTACTGAACCAATTCCAACCAAACTGAGGCTGAATGATCCTTAGGGTATTTAGAATAAAGCTTGTGTTTTATTTTCTGTTTCATCAATAAACATGGCTGCCATGTCTAAAAATAGAACATAGGGGTAAAATGCAGTTTTTGGATTATATCTCAAACACTAAAGCATTTAGAGCAAATCTTATGTGAGGTAAAATTGTTCATTATGTCAAGTTCTATCAGCCATTCAATTTTCAGATGAATCTAACAATCCATTGTTGGGTTGCTGCCTCTAGATTGGTAATTTTAAGGAAACTGCAGTTTTTATTTTGTGGTCAAAATATTGGTATGACGTTGAAGTTGGCGGCGTCATCGTCGTCCAAAGACACATTGGTTTTCACACTCTAACTTTAGTTGAAGTTAATGGATCTCGATGAAATTTTACCTTAAGGTCCAATACCACAAAAGGAAGGTTGGGATTGATTTTGGGGGTTATGGTACCAACAGTTAAGTAATTAGGGGCCAAAAATAAGCATTTTTGTAACTTCCGGACATAACTTGTGTGTTAGTGTATGGATCTCTCTGACATTGTACCACAAGATTCCATATCACAAAGGGAATGCTGGGATTGATTTTGGGGGTAATTGCCTCAAAATTTTAGGAATTAGGGGCAAAAAAAAAAGGGGTAAAAAACAAGCATTTTTCTAGTTTCATGACAATAACTTGTGTGTAAGTGTATGGATCTTTCTGAAATTGTACTACAAGGTTCCATATCACAAAGGGAAAGCTGGAATTGATTTTGGGGGTAATTGCCCAAAATGTTTAGGAATAAGGGGCCAAAAATAAGCATTTTTCTAGTTTCCAGACAATAACTTGTGTTCAAGTGTATGGATCTCTCTGAAATTGTACTGCAAGGTACCATACCACGAAGGGAAGGCTGGGATTGATTTTGGGGGTAATTGCCTCAAAATTTTAGGAATTAGGGGCAAAAAAGGGGCAAAAAACAAGCATTTTGCTAGTTTTAGGACAATAACTTGTGTGTAAATGTATGGATCTTTATGAAATTGTACTACAAGGTTCCATATCACAGGGGGAAAGCTGGGATTGAGTTTGGGGGTAATTGCCCTAAACGTTTAGGAATTTGGTGCCAAAAATGAGCAAAAAAACAAGCATTTTTCTTGTTTCCAGACAATAACTTTGTGTTCAGGTGTATGGATCTCTCTGAAATTGTACTGCAGGTACCGTACCACATAGGGAAGGCTGGGATTGAGTTTGGGGGTGATGAATCATAAGGGGGTTCAAAAAATTTGGGGGGATTTTTTTACCTTTTTTTCCTTTTGTTTTCTTTAAAATTTTCCATTTTAAATTGGTTATTTTTGATTTATATATAAAAGCAAATAATAATGATACGGTTTGAATAGGTAAATTAGAAATGTTTAAGTTCTTAGACCACATTCATTTTGTGAGCCTCTTGTTTTAATTGCTTCTGTAAGTAATATATTAATTTGAAATTTTGACGACAGACACATACAGATTATACTGTTAACAATATTTCAGAGTTTAATGTTGTCAAGCACACAAATCATAGAAGAATAGTTAATCACGTCATTGTTGTCCATTTAAAAATTAGTACGAACACGATGAAAAAGTACGGGAATGTTTGTTTGTTAAACTATTGACCGTGGTTATGTCTTTGAAACTGTTGACTGGCAAATAGTCTGTGAAATGAAATAGCACAAATATTTCATTCTTTTATATATCATGGTATATAGAAAAACACATACTGATGTATAATAATAGTTATAGTGACTGTCATTAAATTATAGTTTTTACCTTTTTTAAGTTTAGGGCAAGAGATAAATAGAAGATAAAGAAAAATATAAACAATTACAACTGTACAGTAGAAATGATCGGCAAAACAAGATAAACAGAAGACAACAAGGCTTAAATGGTAAGACCACTTCTATATAATAAAAGTGATTGCCCTTGAATGATGACTATTATAAAAATAAGAAGATGTGGTATGGTAAATGAGTTATCTATCCACCAGAGTTCAATGAAGTGGATGCAAGCAATTAAAGACCAATGACGGCCTTCGATAATGAGAAAACCCATACCTTATAAGTCAGCCAATAAAGACCCCAACATGAAAAGATTTAAACAATCCAAATTAGTTCAAAGCCAATAAAAAGTAATAAAAAAATCATGTCTGTGAGCACTCCATCTAACCATAATCTAGGACAGTGGTTCAAATAGCACAACATATGAACAAACTGTAAAAACTGTTGCAAGTGGCTCAACTCATTTTCACTGCAAGGCACTAAAACGACTGATATTAAGTCGTGGACACAAAGCACTGAAATAACAGAACTCATAATCATGATTAGTAGGAATATCAAATTTAAGTTTCTCAAAATGTTCATATTAAATATGATAAAATAAGCTTATTTCATATTGCTGTTTTTTTCTCAATTTATATTTTGTGTATTTATAGGTGCAGAGACTTCTTGGTTTTCATGATCATCAACAGATCGATACAGAAGAGGAAACTTAAGGTTAATACCTTTCTACATTGTGTGCTAATTGGATTAATGTGAAATGAAATGTGTGCTTACCTGGAAAAAGAAAATAGGAAATTTCTACAAAATGGCTGTAAACAAAATGGAGTACAATCATAGATTCACAAGAACACAATTGTGTAATTGCAACAACCTGCACTGAAGGATTAGGGAGAAATGTAGAAAAAATAGTATTTTTTTGTCGAAATAAACACCTGCTTTATCCATTCATGTACATAGCTCTGTCATATCAACTATATAGAGGAAGATGTTTGAAGAACAAATTGCAAAAATGTATTCTCTACCAATTGAAGGAAGATGTCTGGTGGATGCAATTATTTATGCACTGAACTGTTTTGTAGGGGATTGAATACTTGTACGCAGCAGAAAAGTTAAATTAACATGAAAAGTGGTTATTTTATTTAATCCGCAAATATGAGCACAATATTAATAACATCACAAATAGTATGATATTCATAGCGTTTTGCTTATTATTGTATTGTCTCAAACAGCTAGCCTATTGTTTTTGTATGTCATGTTACTCATCAGTGAACATTTTATTAAAGTTTTAATTATCTTTTGTATCAATTATTCAGTCTCAGGAAAAATTATATTTATACTGTTTTTACTGTTATGAAATTTTCATAGAGGAAAATTGAATAAGAGAAATTTCCATAGAGGAAATTTGGAGAACAATGTTTTCCTTAGAGGAAATTTGTGGTCTTGAATTTTCCCTCAAGGAAAAGTGTTTGTCAAAAATTTCCTCACAGGAAATTGCTGTTGACAAAATTTCCTCACAGGAAAAAGTATTTCCTCAAAGGAAAATTTGAAGCCGCAAATTTCCTCACAGGAAAAAGTATTTCCTCAGAGGAAAATTTGAAGCCTCAAATTTCCTCAGAGGAAATAGAATTTCCTCAAAGGAAAATTTGAAGCCGCAAATTTCCTCACAGGAAATAGAATTTCCTCAAAGGAAATATTAATGCAGCAAATTCCCTAAGGGAAATCTTTTTCCCTTGAGGAAAATACAATTTCCCTTAAGGAAAAATCTTTTTCCTTCAGGGAAATTTGATTTCCCTTGAGGAAAACTACTTTTCCTCTGAGGAAATTGTTGAAAAAAGGGGCATAACTTTTTCAACAGTGGTGCTAGAGCCAAAATTTTTTAGGACAAATATCAGGGAACCAATACCAACCAAGTTATCAACTTCATTTTGACTTTACTCCAAAAATTAAGGTGACAACTTTTGCACTCAGCGGAAGTGCAAACTTGTCCCGGAGACTGTTCTGACATCTGCAAACAATACAGATGGGCGGGATTAAACCTGTATACATTATATTTTAAATTGATTGGATGTTATCCTGGAGGAATGGCACACCCAATTGTACATGTAAAAAGTAAAATAACAAAAATACCGAACTCCAAGGAAAATTCAAAACGGAAAGTCCCTTATCAAGTGGCAAAATCAAAAGCTCAAACACATCAAACGAATGGATAACAACTGCCATATTCCTTACTTGGTACAGGCATTTCCGTATGTAGAAAATGGTGGATTAAACCTGGTTTTACAACTAGCTAAATCTCTCACTACTATGGCAGTCGCATAAAATTCCATTATATTGACAACAATGAGTGAACAAAACAAACAGACATAATAGGTAAACATGTCAAAAAAGGGGTACAGCAGTCAACATTGTGTTATAATCTTATAATCTTAATCACTATAAAAACAAACAAATATGCCAACAAAGAAAAACAAATGGCATATAGACAAAGCGCATAAGCAAAAATGAAAGAAAAGAATACACAAAAATGACCATAGCACAATAACACAATGGCTTGATGTATAAGTACCGAGCAACGCCAAATGGATATTCCCAAAATAGACTGAACAGTAAAGGTAAAAAATGTACAAAGACAAATAAAAGTACACTATAACACGTAATTAAGATGATAAAAAACGTCAATACCTAGAATCTATGCTTCTTGTAAACATCATGTAAACATTACATGACAAATATTATTCTATAGTCAAATGCGTTTTGTTAAAATATACCTTTTCACTCATTTGGTCTTTTGGAAAATGTTGTTTGTGCTGTATTTAGACCCCTCTTCCAAGAAATTTGTTTTGCATGCACACGAATAAAAATTGCGGTTTTTATCCAACACAATCATAAGTTTGAACGTTGTTTTCAATTTAGACTTGTATATATATATAAACAAGTCTAAATTGAAAACAACGTTCAAACCTTTGATTGCGTTGGATAAAAACCGCAATTTTTATACATATATATATATATATATTTGGCAAATAAGTTGTGCAATTGAAAACAACTTGTATGATGAGCTGGAGGGAGTTTACAGAATAGAGAATAATGGACAAAAGGTACAGAATACAGAGCAAATGAAATAATGAATAGAGAAAAATAGGCAAGAAAAGAGAATAATGGGGTGCTAAGATATAATAAATAGAGAATAATGGTCAAAATAAATAATGAATTGAGATAAATGATCTAAAAATTAAAGAATACAGAAATAAAGGAACCCATCCAGGCCCGCTATATAGTTTGTTGAAGCTTCCACGTGATTGGTTAGTATAATTATCAACACAAATGTATTGTTATTAAGTATACCGACCCAAAAAAGAAATCAGATAGTTTCCAAGATTGAAACCGTTATTTGCTAAAACTTGTCAAGCTATATTTTAGGCATCTTATTTTTGTTGGTTTCATGAAATATCTGTATATTGCCAAAAACGACCGTATAGATAGTTGACTTATCCATGATTTCAATGATTTTAAATAGCCAATAAATGCAAATTTCAGCATAAATATACCTGAGAACGTTATTATAACTACGAGACTGCAATACAATATTAGATACAAATTTGTTTAGGAATTTTTTACTCAAAAGATCAACATTATTTCCTACTCAAAATTGGTTCACAAACGATTATTTATCTAAAACATTATATTTATTGCATTTATTATTGTTAAGAATATAAAAGCAAACAAATAATCATTCAGTTTTGACTTTTTATTAAGTTAAAACAAGGTTCAGAACTTGCTGGAGAATTAAATACGAATACTAGTAATTATAATGGCGATTTATGTGATAGTATAAAATCCAGCTTATTAAATATGTGTGAATAATATTTGTCCTGTAATGGTTACATGTACAATTGGGTGTTACTAACCTCTAGGATAACATCCGGTCAAATTAACGGATACTGTATACAGGTTTAACTCCGCCTATATATATTGTTTGCAGATGTCAATCTTAATTATACAAACAAAGCAAGCCATTAAGCTAACCAGTCTAACTCTACAAGTATAAGGTAATTATTGTATATATATACACACATAGATTGAAAGGGGGGCCTAGATAAAATGTAAGTGTACTTATATTGTTTGCATTTGTATTCTCATTGACCTCATGATATAATGAATCTAACAAATAAACTATGATTTAAAAGCTTTAAAGAAAATAAGATTTATTTGGCTGTAAATTTGTCATGGCATTTATTGCAACAAAGAAACACAACCAACTTGTCAATCAAAACTTGATGACGATTAAATTACTGAAGGGCCATCCAGCAGTAACAAAGTTATATCAGGAGCCACTGGGTAATCCATAGCAGCATAAAGTAAATTCGGCCAAAATTACCAGTTGAGTAACTAGTTGCGCAACTGGTAATCCGCCAAGAAATTTCCCGCATGACAAATTTAACAGCAAGAATCAACAAATTTCAAATAACATCAGCTTCAACTTCAACTTCAGCATCAAGTTAAATTCAATACAGTCAACGTCATTGAAATTTTTAATTGATAAACTGAATAATCAAAACAACATCTGAAGCTATTTTATTCATGTAAGGGAAAACCAAACAATGAGGAAATTTAAAAAACATTTACAGAGCACCTTGAATCTGATTTAGGAATATATCATTGCCGATGAAGGAAAGATGCACCCCATCTTCACTAAAATCGCCAATATGTTTATCCTCAAAATCTTTATGTTTTATCACGTATCCATCTATTTTTTAGCAAATATGAACGCATCCCCCTATTTATTCTCCGCCTAGTAGTTTCCATAGCTCCAGTGTTATTGGAGAACCTCCATTTAAATCTAGGTAAAATACTTGACCACACTAATGCAGTGTCAGGTAACATCTTTGAGAGAATGGCTATGGCAAACTTTATATGGTAGAGTAATTCTCCACATGGTGTGTCCCCAATGTCATTACCCCCACAGTGAATTATAACAGCAAACGGAATACTTCTCCAATTAATAATACTTTGTACCAAACTAACCAAATTATGCCATTTCATACCCGACATACCGATCCAAACTAACTGACATCCAATATTCTCTAATCCGAGCGATGCACCTATAGGCCTAGTATGAGCGTGATCACTTGCTCTTGTGACAATTGAAGAGCCAATTACCCAAATATCTTTCTAGTACCCTGAAATTAAGTTTTTTAATACTATACGAGGTTTGTCCTTATATAACCTTTGTAAGCAGCTGATTTCCATCGACTTTTCATTTTAATACTATTTTCATCTAAACCATCAAGAAAAGACTGTGTTGCAGCTCCAATACGCAAAGAATGTGTATTAAATTCAGAAGGATTGTATCCTAGAAAAGCAAGGGGTTTCTTTAAAATATTAGAAAACTGGTACCTCGTTAGAATTTTTTCGTTTGCATGACAAAATAAATGTCCATCATCTTTATATCTCATAGCAAGGTAGTCTGACATCAACTGAACAGGACAAATCGAACTAGTTTTATTCCTTCCCAGAATGATCGTGATTGAATTACCCAGCTGATCAGTCTTAGAAGAAGGAATTATTATATTAAGTGACCCTGAATTATTATCAATTGTTATATTGGATCGTTTTACAATATGATTCTCATTAAAATTTGATTTTGCAATTTCTCCAACACGAAAAAATCAAAAAAATGCAACTGAAAATGAAGCTTTAAATAAACATGTTTCATAAACTGAATAACAAACTAACTTCAGTGCATCTAAAAGTCTAGTTAATATATCAATAGTAATAGGCTTACGACAGTCGTGTCGCTTATCTAATCGAAGCATGCCACTGAGCATCTTTTGAACTATACAACAATGAGTGTTGTCCAAAAAACCATTAATCTTAATATGATACAAACTAATGCCTGAAAGTTACGCTTTCACAATGGAATAAGAATATTCTTCCTTAAACATGTAAGCTATATAATTAACTAAATGTGAAACAGGGCATGGCCATACGTCATTTAAATTTAGTTTATGTTTAAAGTTTTGAAATGAATTTAGTCCATTTTGATACGTAAGCCAAGTATTTGAAGAATTTGAGGCTGCTATTAGGCTCAACACTTCTGGTCTAAAATTGTCCAAAAGTCCAATGGAACTAAAGTGGGACATGGTTCTGCACATGGAGCCAATTCCTTGTATTTCTGAAATTTTCCAAGAGAGATTAAATCAGCAAAAAAAATTTTATTACCAGGAATATGAACGGTTTTAATGTGAAAACTACCCAGCAAGGACCACACTACGATATGTCTAACAAGTGACA